GCAGCCCGGGCGACGTCTGGAGTTACAATGTCTGGAGAGTGGGGGGAAATCTGCGCGCCTGGACCTGATCTAGGGCTGTGACCAGGAGCCACCTCAGAGCCCTGCTCCCTCCTGCCTTCGGCTTACTCTCCCCCCAGCCTGGGGCCGCACCCCTGGGCGGGTCTGTGACTACTCTTCAGCTGGCTGGAGGGACTTAAACCCCAGGCCACCCCTGGGACTGGGGCCAGGCTGGGTCTTCCCTTCACCACCAGTGCTGCACGTGTAAGCTAGAGGGAAAGGAGCCCAGATGGGGCATCTGCGGAGAAATGAATGAGGATATTAGAGGCCTGGGAAAGAAGGTGGGCTCGCTGGCAGGATGTGCTCTGGAAACCAGCAAGCACACCTTCTAGGTTTGGGTAACTACCCCCACCCCCACCCCCACTCCATTTTCGGGCCCACTCCAGGAGGGAGATAAGGCCCTTTGAGAGGTTCCTCACACCAAAACTACATATGTAGGATAATAATGATGTTAGGAACCTCACTGTGAAGGCACCTGTGGGAATGCAGGAGAGGTTAATTACTTGTCAAAAGAAGGAAAGAAATCTACAAAACTGAACACTGGAGAGCCAATTTGAAAGGAATAAAATTCCTTACCTTGCAGGTTATGGGACTGCACTCAAGACAGTGGGGGCTGGGGGGGAGAAGGGGGCTCCAGCAGACAATAAATATCCCCCTTGTTCTTTTCCTATTCTCAAAGAATAGCATATTATCACCCTCGTTCTTATTATTCATATCAACTGGATGCCACTTTCTATATGCCCAGGACTGCTAAGTGCTTTATGTGGTCCAGTGCACGGATGGGCCTGTGAGGTAGAGCCAATACCCACCCCCCACTGTCTCCATTGTGTAGGAACAGGAAAAGACTCCTTGTGATTAAATAATTTGCCCCCAATTGCACACAATTAAGAAGTAACAGAACTGAGAATTCACACCCGGATCCCTGTGACTGGTGATAAGCTTCGTAGTACTTTGATGGTTTCTGTCTATTTTTCTTGATGATAAATTGTAGAAATTTATAGAATTGCATTCTTAGTCCTTAGTTCTCCATGGTCAGACCCTCCCTACTAATCTGCTGGAGACTCCCCTCCTGTCTCCTTTCCCCTCCAGCCCAGCCCACAGGTAACAATGTCAGACTGGCCGGAAACTTGCAGGGCACTCCAACTTTCATGTGCACAGCACTCAATCATCAGGGGCTTTGGGCTTTTTAAATGTGGGTTTTGATTTAGGAAGTCTGGGGTGGGCCCAAGAGTTTGCTTGGCTACCATGCGCTCAAGGGGTGCCTGGACTGTTGGGCTTCAGAGCACACTTTTGAGTAGCAAAGAGCCAAGGGCCTGAAGCGCATCCCACCCCTAGCTCCACTTCCACCGAGCAGACCCAGCTATAAGCCCTCCTTCACACTACGTACTTTGATGGCATGTCCTTCGTTCAGTGCAAAGGTACCATGGGAGCACTGCTCAAATTGTAGTTCTTTCTTCTTATGGCATGTATTTCATTTGTCTGCCAAACAAGGTAGTTAAAGTCATTGAGGACAAAGATCCAGATTCTCTTAGGCTAAAATTATTCAGGTAGAATAAAATAATGATAAATTTGGGACCGGAGTTACAGATATTTCTTAAGAATCACTGCTTTTGAGATGTAAGTAAAAATGTCACCTTTTTAAAGACCTGCAGCTATTAAATAAACCCCTGTTGTTGTTGTTGTGGTTTGCACACGTTTTTGCTATATATGCATATATTCTCTTGGGAACAGATTCAACATTTCAAAACAATCTAGATTTTATGAGCCCCAGGAAGTTCCCCCGGCCTTTCAAGTGAATTACTTCTCAAAATCTTAATTTAAATACACGACAAGAAATTAAGATATGCGTTCATTACTTCTCACAAAAGACACTGGAATGTTTTCTTTTAAAATGCTGTTCCTGAGTCAAATAATATATTTAAATATATTCCGGCAGCTTGCTAGACAATGTCCTTTGAAGGAAGATTGCTCTTTGGTAGCCTATAGAGCTACCAGTGGTTCTCAAACTTCCTCACACCGTGATCCTTTAATGCAGTTCCTCATGTTGTGGTGACCCCCAAACAATAACATTTGTTTCGTTGCTACTTCATCACTGTCATTTTGCTACTGCTATGAATCAGGCAACCCCTGTGAAAGGGTCGTTTGACCCCCAAAGGGGTCGCGAACCACAGGTTGAGAACCGCTGCTCTAGCGAATAGCACAGTGCCCTAGACCTTATACTTCAATGAAACCTTGAATTCCAAGTTAGGTGAATGCCAAGTTAGTGTCCTTGAGTTCGACAAAATTCAATAATTTAAATTTAGCATTTGTGGTTTCAAATTCCAGACATTTGCCATATCCTCATTATTTAATATTTAACTTAGCCAATGTTTATAAATATTTACTGACTGGGCTGGTGCAGTGCTAAATTTTAGGTAGAAGGAAATGGTGAGACACACTTGAATGTGGGCAACAGTAAATAACTCATTTGAGCCAGGATTCTCAACCAGAGGCAATTGTACCCCCAGGGTGCATTTGTCAATGTCTAGAGACATTTTTAGTTGTCTTCCATGTGAAAGGGGCGAGGAAGGGCTACTAGCATCTAAATGGGCCGAGACCAAGGGTGCTGCAAAATATCGTATAATGCACAGGACACCCTTCCCTGCAACAAAAGATTCTCTGACCCCAAATGTCAATGGTGTTGAGTGTGAGAAACCTTGTTCTCTGTTTTATCCATGAGCGGTTGACACCCAAGAAACGGGGTTGTTCCCTGAGGATTTCAGTTCAATATAGTGGCTGGGTCAAAAATCAAAACCATACAACCCACAAGATCTTGGGCCTATTAATTTGGCACTGGAAACAAAGAAATGTCACTATCTATCATTGGACTAAACCATAGTTCACCAGTCCCCTCCAAAGTGAATACTACTTAGTGAAAAAATAATATTGGTTCTAAAATAATTTTAAGGGGGAAACTATTGATTTGATTTTTAAAAATATATCATCACTGCTGCATCATTGGACCAAATTTGACCTCTTAATCTATTTTACAAGAGTTTAAAATAAGGTTCCACCTTTTGGACTTTCACAATTTGAGCCTATGTTGAAACATATGAAGTATAATAATTAACCTAATTATCTTAATTTCTTCCACGTATCTGAATATCTGAAAGTAAAGAAGATCTGGATAATTCTAGGAGCTCACCATCCAGTCAGGCATTATTATTTTTTCAGACCACTAGGCTCTGTACTGATATAAAGATACAGATAATAGATAGATATATCTGAACCCTTTGCCAGTGAGTCACTTCTGACTCATAATGACGCTATAGGACAGAGTAAAACTGAGCTGTAGGATTTCCTAGGTTGTATTTTTCATAGGATTATGGAGTTCTGGCAGCACAGTTATTAAGCACTTGACTGTTAATGTAAAGATGCACAGTTCAAACCCACCAGCCACTTGGGAGAAAGACATGGCAGTCTGCTTCCATAAAGATTACAGCCTTGGAAATCCCAGTGGGTCACCGTGAGTCAGTGACTTGACTGTAATGAGTTTTGTTTAGGGTAATCTTTACAGGACTAGATTGCTAGATCTTTTCTCCTGGGTAGCAGCTGGGGGCTTTGAGCCCCTGACTTTTGAGTCAGCAGCAGAGCACTCAACCACCGCACCACCAAGATGCCCAATATATCTATATCCATATATAGTCCATTTTCTATCTATACTCACATGAGGGGGCTTCAAAATATTGGTGGAAATACTCATTATCCTTTCATTAAATTCTCCACCAAATATTTGAAGCCTCATGAGTATATATAAAAAATGAATATATACCGGCTAGACCAGAGCATGTACATGGGTACAGATAAGAGCTGGGGATCCAGGACAGATAACCCCCTCAGGACCAATAATGAGAGTAGCGATACCAGGAGGGGAAGGGGAAGGTGGGGGAAAAAAGGGGGAACTGATCACAATGATCTACCTATAACCCCCCTCCCAGGGGGATGGACAACAGAAAAGTGGGTGAAGGGAGACATCGGTCAGTGTAAGACATGGGAAAAACAATGACAAAAATGTTAATAATTTATAAATTATCAAGGGTTCATGAGGGAGGGAGGGGGGAAATGAGGAGCTGATGCCAAGGGCTCAAGTAGAAAGAAAAGGTTTTGAAAATGATGATGGCAACATATGTACAAATATGTTTGACACGATGGTTGGATGTATGGATTGTGATAAGAGCTGTGCAAGCCTCCAATAAGCTGATTTTTTGAAAAGAAAATATATGTACGTTTATATATATGGTGACACAGTGATTAAATATGTATGCATAGAAGTAGACATAGTATGTATGTAT